CCCGGCTCCCCTCAAGGGCCAACACCTCCCCCTGTGTGCCCCTGTTGACTCAAGAAACATCCACTGTGGATAGTTTTTAAAAATAATTTTATTTTTAATTACAGTTGACATACAATATTATATTAGTTTCAGGTGTGCACTGCAGTGATCAGACATTATAAAATTATAAAATTCATTAAGTGATCATCCCAGAGACCTCATTCCTCTCTGACACCGTGGTAGTTATTAGGATATTACAGGCTGTATTCTCTGGCTGTCCTTTACACCCACACGACTACACTGTAACTACTAATTTGTACGTCTGTCCCTTCACCTTTCCACCCAGTCCCTCAACCCCCTCCCATCGGGCTCCTGTCAAATATTCTCTGTATTTATGAGACTGTTTCTGTTCTGCTTGTTCATTTATTTTGATTTTTAGATTCAATTGTTGACAGGTATGTATTTATTGCCATTTTATTGTTCATATTTTTTATCTTTATCTTCTCCCCCTTCTTAAAGAAGACCCTTTAACATTTCATGTAATACTGGTTTTGTGGTGATGAATTCCTTTAGATTCTTCTTATCTGTGAAGCTCTTTATCTGACCTTCAGGTCTAAATGATAGCTTTGCGGGGTAGAGTCATCTTGGTTGTAGGTCCTTGCTTTTCATCACTTTGAATATTTCTTGCCACTCCCTCCTGGCCTGCAAAGTTTCTGTTAGGAAATCAGCTGACAGTCCTAAGGGCACTCCCTTGTAGGTAACTAGCTGCTTTTCTCTTGCTGCTTTTAAGATTCTCTCTTTGTCTTTAACCTTGGCATTTTAATTATGATGTGTCTTGGTGTGGGCCTCTTTGGATTCATCTTGTTAGGGACAGTCTGCACTTTCTGGACTTGTATGTCTATTTCTTTCATCAGGTAAGGGAAATTTTCTGTAATTCTTTTTTCAGATAGGTTTTTAATTTCTTGTTCCCTCTCTTCTCCTTCCAGCACCTCCCAGATGCAAATTTTGGTACACTTGAAGTTGTCCCAGAGGCTCCTTACACTATTTTATATTTTTTCATTCTTTTTCCTATTTGCTGTTCTGATTGGGTGTTTTTTGCTTCCAAATCACTGATAAGATTCTCACTGTCCTCTACTCTACTGTTGTTTCCCTGTAAAATATCATTTCAGGTGGTGTACCCTTCATTCCTGATGGGTCCTTGTTTATGTTGCTGATGTTCTCACTAAGCTCCTTGAGCATCCTTGTCAGCATTGTTTTGAACTCTGTATCTGGTTGTTTGCTTGCTTCCATTTCATTTAGTTCTTTTTCTTTTCTGGGGATTTCTTCTGTTCTTTCATTTACGACATGTTTCTTTGTCTCCACATTTTGGTTGCTTCTCTGTGTTTGTTTTCTGTAGTAGGTAGAGCTGCCATGTTTCCTGGACTTGGCAGAGTGGTCTAATGTAGTAGCTGTCCTGTAGGGCCCAGTGGCTCAGCCTCCCCAGTCACTGAGCTGGGCACTCCAGGTGCGCCTCTGTGTGGGCTGTGTGTACTGTCCTGCTGTAGTTGAGCCTTGATTGCTGTTGGTGTCACTGGGAGGGATCGACCTCCAGGCCAATCAGCTGTGAGGACCAGCTGCGACTACAGTGGGAGAGCTGCTGTGCGGGAGCCAGTCCAGGCTCCATGTGGCTTCTTCTTTAATTCCCTGGTTGTAGGACTTCCATTCAGCCAGATTCCAGGTGGTTCTGGACGATGGTGGTTCTGTATTTCCGTGGTAATTGTGATGTGGCTGTGGGAGGGGGCGAATACTGCATCTACCTACACCGTCATCTCGACCAATCTCCAGTCCTGTGGAGAATTTTTATCAGAGTTTGCTTGCGTCAAACTGAAGACATATACCAGGGAGCAAGCTCTCGAAGGCTCCCGAGAATAATAGTTTTGAAACTTCTTTTATGCGTGTAAGGGTGAGGAGGAAACATGAGAAAGAGTACACGGAGGTGGGGAAGGCAAGGTGGGGATTGGATTACAGGGTGCTTAACAAGATTATCCGCTCTCTTGAGGGTGGTTATGGCTTATTTCAAAGGTGTGTTAACCTAGATACACGAGAGCAATGGACAGGGCTTGCTTAAGGCAGAGATAAACCATTTACTAAAGAAGTTATATGTGATGGAAACAAATAATTTTTTAAAAAAGAACTTATATGCCTGGGGCATGACTACCTACCTCGAACTGCCCAGTTAGAAGTTTAGATCACATGGCCCTGTGAAGTTACTTCCCATGGAACCCCTTTTCTTTTGTCCGCACCCCCAGCCCAGGGGACAAGGCTTGAACCCAAACTGAAATGCAGATGTCCCTGCTCTTTTCCCCCACCCACGGCAAGGCTAGGGTGGCCTCCCCCGGAAGGGGAGGGCCTGGTTCTGAGCCTGACTCCTCAAGCCAACATCTGTGCTCGGTGTTTGTTGTTGCTGTTTTTTAAAAAAATGTATTTTTATTGATTTTAGAGAGGAAGGGAGAGAGAGATAGAAACATCAATGAGGAGAATCATTGATTGGCTGCGTCCTACATGCCCCCATTAGGGATCAAGCCCGCAACCTGGGTATATGCCCCCGACCGGGATCGAACCTAGGACCCCTCAGTCCGCAGGCTGACACCGCATCCACTGAGCCAAACCAGCTAGGGCGTTGCTGTTGTTTTTTTACCCTGGGGAGGGCAGCAGGGGGACGGGGTCCCTGTGAAAGCCTCTGGGAGTACCAGCCTGTGTTGCTATGAGGCCCTTGTGGAGGCGGCCAGAGGAGACACAAGGAGGAGGACGGGCCTGCTCAGGGTGGGCAGGAGGCCTTCCTGGGGCACAGCTCACTGACCTTCCCTTGCCTGAGGGCCCTGGGCTTCCGGGTGGGGACAGCACAACCACAAAGTGCCCAGGCGCTGGGATACCACCCGGCATCAGCGCACTCTCAGGGCACCTGGCTCAGGTGTATGGGAGCAGGAAGGAGGTGGCCGGGCCTGGCCTTTCCCTTCCCTGTCCTGTCCTGTCCTGTCACCATCTGCCTCCCTCCCTGCGATATCCCACTCAGCCACACAGCCAGTGCTATTCTGTTTTGTTCTGGTCTATCCCCCTGCCCTGGCCTATCGTCACTAGGCACTGAGTCTGCACTGTGGGCCCTGCCTTACCCTCCCCTCACCCCCAGGCCCTGCCACTGGTGTCATCTCACGTCTGCCTTGGCCAGGACACTGGGCTGTGCAGACCTTGGTTCCACAAGGCAGGCCCTGTGCCAGGGCTCAAGGTCACTGGTCTCTGTCTACCCACGTGCTGACCCCTCACCCCAGTCTGTCTATCGAAATGCTCCCCTCACCTCACTGGCCTTCGTGCTCTGAGGCCTGAAGCCTTGTCTGAGGGGAGATCCCAGCAGGACCCGAGCTTCCTGAGCCCCAGCCTCACGGCAAATGAACAGGGATCTCAGGCAGGTGGTGCCTCCTCCTTAACGGTGAAGTTTCAGACATCAGCCCCAGGTTCCTGGGAAGGTGCATCACAGGATGAAAAAAAAAAAAAAAAAAGGTGGGGGTCATGACCCCGCGTCCCAGTCCTGGCTCTGCCACGAACGTCTGAGTGACGCAGGCAAATCACTTGCTCCGAATGAGCCCCGGTTTTCCCATCTAGAATGTGGGGTTCAGATCAGCTCGCCTAACCCCTATCTGAGGTCCTGTGATGTCCTTCCCCCGAAACTCTGAGTAGCTTTGCTGGAGGGGGGAGGAGGCAGCGGGGATTGTGGGAAAGGGTTGCAGGTGTGGGTGCAGGTTCCACGCCCGGCGACAGGCAGACCCACGCTGCATGCCAGCTTACAGGACGTGTGACCCCAGCAAGGGACACAGCCCCTGACCTCCGTTTTCCCCTCTGTGCTTTGGGGTGGTCAGGCTCCCGAGGGCACGCTGCTCACCGCCTGGCACATAGGTGCTCAGTAAATGGGAGCGGCTCGTCCACGTTCCTGACTGCAGGTGCCTGCCTTTGCCCAGTCTTCCCGTTCCTGGAGTTTGAATCCACTAGGCCCTCCCCTCTCAGCCAGCCACACTCTGTCCCCCGAGGCCCTGGGATCAAGGGAGCCTGCAGCCTAGGCCCACTGCTGTGGCTCCTTCATGGGACAAACCCCCCTCCTCAGCCTTCAGGCCCTCAAGACTCTACCCTGTGGGGCTCCAGCTGCGTGTGCCGCCTCCTCCTGGCAGCCTCCTCCCCGTGTCCCCAGGTGAGAGTGTGCTTTTCCTCATGTCCCGCCACCTCCTGGCATTTCACCACGCTGTCCCTGGTCACACGGTCACACGTGTGTTACTCCACCCTATCAGCACACGCTCAATGATGAGTGCATTCGAGGGTAGAGACCCTCTTCTCTGTGTCCCCACCACCCAGCATAGAGCCTGCGCTCAGCAGGTGCCCCCCCAATGCCCACCATCAATGGGACGAATGGGCCTCCCTTTGCTGCCTTGTCTCATCTGGTGCACTGGCTGGCCCTGGTTCTTTCCCCATCTGTCCTCCCATCCTCACTCCTCTCTGCTCTGCCCGTGGGAGACCTACTCACCCTCCAGGGCACGGCTGAAATCTAATTTCCTATGAGTACAGAGGAGGAGAGACACAGGGCCTGTGCCCAGGGACTCCCACAATGCTGCTGGCAAGAGCCCCAGGGGCACCCAGGAGGGCACTCACCCAGGACCCACACAGTGACAATTAGAGAGCCTGGTTGAGATGGAGTCCCCAGGGTGCACAGCTTGGCACTGAGGAAAAGGCACCCCCTCTCCCTGGGCCAGCTGGGCAAGCAAAGGCTCGAGAGACGTTGGTCCCTATCAGCACGTCCCACGCAGTGCCCACCCGTACACCGGGCCTCACGCAGCCTGGGCAGGGCAGCAGCGCCTCAGAAGCAGCCGTGGGCTTCTTCCCCCGCCCCTCCTGTCCTCACTCACAGGCTGCCAGGCGCATGCGGCCCCAGCACCAGCAAACTCTCAGCCCTTTGGCCACAACATCTTAAACAAATAAAATAAATTTACAAAGGAAACCAATTATATTGAAACAGTTATCAAAGCATTTACTTGTTTTGGCATAGTAATATATAGGTTTTTATTAACACGGGAAAAACAAGGAAGGTCTAATAACTAACTACCTTGTCATTTCAAAGTAGTGTGGAGAGTAAATGCTATTTTGAGATATCTCCAAAAACTATAATGCAGTCGGAAAACATCTATGATTTCTGTTGGTTATGAAGTCACAGGCACTGTTAACTATTGTGGCTTGTTGCCCGAGTACATAAGGGAAGGTTAAATTTTAGCTACAGGTGAGTAAAAATAAAGATATAATTTCCTTCCTATCTAGGTTCACACCCTGAAGTGGAAAGGAGAAATTCGTCATTGATTGAGCCTGATACTCCTGCATTTAATCCTTACACTAACCCGGAGAGAGATGTATTATAACCCAGGTTTTCTTTAATTTTTAATGGATTTTTTTTTCTTAAGAAACATAGATTTGTTGTTCCACTTAATGAATTCATTGGTTGGTTCTTGTATGTCCCCTGACGGGGGACTGAACCCGAAAGCATGGTGCATCTAACAATGGAGCTACCCGGCCAGGGCTGTACCCAGGATTTTCTCATACCTGAGGCTCACAGACGTTGCCCAGAGTCACCCAGGCCCAGCTGGGCAGCCCCTGTTGCTCCTTCCGCACAGAGCTGCCTCCTCAAGGTAAGTTCTAGAACACGGTGAGCAGTGGTCCCGTTGGCCCTACAATACCCTCCCCCACAAAGGCCCTGTGTCTAGTGTACAGAAGGCTCATGAGCCCTGGAAGTCACACACACTTATTTTTATCTCCAGTTTATTTTTTTAGACTAAGAGCAAGAGTATGAAAGTCACAGCCAAAGCACTTGAAAAAGGCCCAGGAGGGTGGGTGGGGACCACAGAGGATGGACAGAGTAAGGTCCTGGGAGCTGGGTCCTGGCTCAGGGCTGGAGGGGGAGGGCGTTGTTGTCTCACGGTCTCCAAAAGTGTCTGTGCGTTGCATAGGTCTTGTCTTCACAGAAGACACAAGAGGGGCCAGGGGGTCCCCCAGTGGGGGGCCTAGCCTGGTGGGGAAGGGGTCTGGGGTTGGAAGGGGAAGTCAAGGAAGGTCAGGGGGGTGAGGGGAGGGACTCTGTCTGTACATATATATAGAGATATAGAGCTGTACATGCCTGCCTGGCACCCCAGTGCCCACCCCTTGTCACCCTTTTCCACTGCCCACCCCCCCCAGGGGTGTCTACTTGTAAACTTGGATTCCATCCAAACCACAATCCTGGGGGTGGGAGTGGGGAGGGGGGAGGAGGACATGCTTATTGCTGTAAACAGGGTTAAGGGGGCAGCGGGTGAAGCCACCCCCTCGCCCATCGAGTCCCCTCCCTGTGTTCTGCCCCTGGAAGAGAGGGGTGGGGGTGTCTCCCACGCTTCAGTTTGCTCTCTTTGGGGCATATTTGTCTCTCTGGGGGGACAAAAGAGGAGGGCACCAGGGGTCAGGGAGTCCTGAGCACTACCTTTTATGGCCCCCCAGTTTGGTACCAAACATTACCCAAGCCATAAGGCCACTGGGACCCATGGCCTCCCTGTGCCTGGTCCACTACAGTGACACGTGGAGGGAGGGGGCAGAGGGATGGGCACAGATGTATGGTGCAGACCCCACTTTCAGCCACTGGAGGAGGGTCTCGGCCTCTGGGCTAGGCTTCCCTTGGAGAGGCCAAAGTCTCCCTATCTGGGCCGCCCCCGCCCCATCGCCCCCATCAAGGGAGGGAGCAGAGCTAGGAGGCCAAGAGTGTCATGAGGAAGAAGGCGATGCCCACCGCGAGGGGCAGGTGTTCCCGCTTGGGGCTGGTCCCGCTGATGCTCTTCTCAAGCTTGGGCACCTGGGGGTTCTCTCCCTCAAAGTCTTCTGTGGAGAGATGAAGAGACAGACAGATAAGGGCTGGGCTGCGCGCCGAGGCGGGGGCACGCGGCAGCGGCGGCGGCAGCAGCAGCAGCAGGAGGGGAGCAGGGGACGTGACCACCCACGGTGGTAGGAGGGATGGGTGTCCCCAGGGGGAAGTCATGCGAGGTGAGCAGGCACCGGGGAGGGGACTGCGGTTCCAGCAGTGGCCACCAGAGGGCGCTGCGAACTCACCCAGCACGTTGATCTTCACATTGGGGCCCATGGTGAACTGGGGGAGAGTGGGGACCGGCTTCTCCCCGGAATGCGATGCTGCGGGGTAGGGTGTTGGGTGGGGAAAGAGGAGGGGAGAGTCAGGGCCAGGGATCCCCTCCCCCTGCTACAGCTGGGGAGCGAGTCCCCCTCTCCTGTGCCCTCCGCCCTCATCCCCAGGAAGCCAGGGGAGCCCCAAAGCAGGGGAGCTGAGGATGGGGTGGCGGCTGGGAGCCGCTTATACTCACTGGAGGCGCAGCAGACGAACACCTTCATCCTCAGACACTTCCAGTGCAGGTTGTGGGTGGGCGTGGCTGGGGAGGACACGGAGCCTGAGCGCCCTTTCCCGGTTTGCACCTCGTGCCCTCACTCAGAAACTCGCCCTCTCGCCCCTCCCTGCCCCGCCCTGCCCCTCCTGGGGAGTGTCCTCCCGTAGCTCCCGGTCACCATGGACACTGGTCACGAGGCTCAGCTGTCAGCGTCAGCAGCCCCTCGGTTCCTGGACCTCAAGTAACCCGGACCCCTGAGGTCCCACCCCTGGAATGTTGGGCACAGAAAGTGGCTCCGACCCACACCGAGGACGCACCAAACACTCCCAGCCTCACTGCACTGTCTGGGAACGGAGATCCCGAGGCCCCGTCCCCAGCCCCAGATCGGGGATCACGCCCAGCGACCGGACGCCCGCCCGCCCGCCCGCCCGCCCGCCCGGGACCGGCGCACTCACAGATGTAGTAGTACTCGTGGCCGGCGTGGAACTCGTAGCCCAGAGAGAAGGCGCTGTAGCGCTGGAACTTCTCCGAGAACTTGATGGGGCTGTGGGACGCGTGCGGCCGGTTGCACTCCCAGCGCTTGAAGCCCTGGCTGGCGTTGCAGGAGCGGTAGCCGGCGCGGCTCACCATGTACAGCACGTACTGCTCCGCCCCGCCGCCCGGCCCCGAGCTGTTGTAGTGCGGGCAGTAGATGTCCAGGTAGTCGTTCACGTTGACCTGCACCGTGTAGCCCTCTCGCCGCAGGCTGCGGGGGACCGGGGAGCCGGCAGCGGGTCAGAGAGAAGCAGCGCCAGGCCGCCCTCTCTCCACTGCACCCTTCCCCAGAGTCCTCGAGCTTCCCGGCTCCTCGGAGCCCCCTCCCCCGGTCCCTGCCTTCCCCAGGACCCGGTGCCGCCAGGGCCCGCGCTACACTTCCGGCCCGTTTCTGGTTCTGTCCTCCTGTGGCCACCAGAGGGCAGAAAAGGCGCAGGGAAGCCCCGCCGGCCTCCGAGGAAAGGAGGCGGGGAGAAAGGTGGAGGGAAGTAGGGAACGCCGGCTTGGTTACCACAGAAACGGCGCAGGCCCGTGCGATTCCGATCCCCAGACCCAGACCCGGATTTCCTCCTTCCACTCCCCATACTTCACCAGCGGGGCGGGGGATGGAGGCAGGGAGAATAGTGACAGTGGGAGGAACCCCTTCGGACAGATCAGCGCCTCCATCCCATCTCCCCACATGCTTTCCCGCGGCTGCCGGTCCAACGCCAAGGCCAGTCCCATAGGACCTGCCCTCACACGAGCATGTATGCAGGCTTCATGCATGTACATGCAGAGTTCTAGGGCACACACACACATGTCTACCACCCACTCACCGGCGGCAGACACATGGAAAGGCTCGGTTGTATGTGTGCTGAACTTGCACTCCAGGATTGGTTGACCTCCGCAACCTCAAACTCCTTCCCTGCTCTCTCTCTCTCTCTCTCTCTCTCTCTCTCTCTCACACGCGCGCGCGCGCACACACACACACACACACACACACACACACACATACATGCTTTCTCTACAGTAACACTGGTCTCTGTACCTTGAGTCCCACTGACCTCCACCCTGAGGCCATGGGCATTAGGCCCCCCGTGTGACAACACATCAGGGAGTTAGAGAGCTCAGTATCGAGGCCCCACATGGTATCATACCAACCAGCCCAAACTTTCGTATCTATACATCTCCCTCCGTCCTCAACCTGGGCACCACTGTCCCTTAAAGATGCTGGGCAGAGCCGTGGGCCTAGTGCCTGGACAAGATGGCTGTTCCTCGTACTTCCCTGAGCCTCCTATGGGACAGAGAAGCAGATGCTGGGTCCCTTGTAATCCCCACCTGCCTTATTAGGCATCATCAAAGCACTGGTCTTAACACTGTCGATGTGGAGATGGAGAAACATGAGTGGAGAGAAAAACTCAGAGAAGGAGGCAGGAATCTCCCCTCCCTTCCTTGGGGTAGGAATCATGCATCTCGCGGCGAGAGGGAGAGTGGTGGACACAGGTGGCACGGATCCTTGGCAAAATGTCAAACCACAGGAGTCCCTGAGAACTCCCTGAGGGGAGGGACTGGCTCCCCATGTCGACAGGCACCTCCCAGTTCCACCAACAGTAATTAGATCTCTTAGGAAAGGTGTTCGGAGGCTCTGCATGGGGAAGGGCCTGGAGGGTCCCTGCCCACCTTACCCGACTTCCTCGGCCTTGCCTGTGCCACTCTTTCCCTACACATCCCCTTCCAGGCCTGGCAGTAAGGCAGACAGGTGGGCACTGGTGCGCGGGCACCCAGTAAGAATGGGCACAGCTTCCCTGAGTCATCAGGAATGCTACTAGCCCCACTCAGTTCCCACGGGGGTGATGGGTCACTCAGGCCACTCCCCGGCCCTGGCACTCAGGTGGGCAGGAGTACTGGCCTGGGGCACTGGGAGCAGGAAAACGGGTTAGACCAGGCCTGGCTCCCAGCTGCCACCCTAGGTTTGCCTCTCTATCTCCAGCCCCAAAGGCTTCGAGGAGGAGGCCGCCCGTGGTAGGGGGCCACGTCTGGAACAGCTGCAGAGCCACACTGGGGCCTGGGTCCTTGAGCCTCACCCGGGTTCCCAACCCTGCTCTGAAGCGGCCGCTCCCTGGGGGGCCTTCTCAGTGCCCCTTCCCAGCAGGGAGTAAGCCAAAGCCAGAGCTATTCCTATAGGCACCTCCGTTTCTCAAGTGGGGTTGCTGGGTGACCACAAACGAAGAGAAACCATCTCTTACCTATCCCAGGGTTGGGCTGAAATGCCCCCAAAGCTGGGCACGTGGGAGGAAAAGACCTACTTGTGGAATGGCTGTGCCCAGCCGGAATCTGTCCGACTGGGGGCAGAAGGGCCGGATGCCAGCAAGCCCGGCCACACTGCTAGAAGGCCCGGGGCCTGCTTGGCCTGGGCGCTTTCTTTAAACCTGTCACCCTCCCTGTCTTGGGAGTGAAGAAGAAGGTGACACTAGGCCGGAGAAGCTCGCTGCTAACCCCTCCTCCAGGGCTGTACCTCCCCAGCTCAGAGCCCCGCCCCCGGTAGGGGGTGGGGCGAGCTGGGATCTGGGGACTGGGTGGTACCTGCCCCTTCAGACAGTTCTCTATTCTTCCTTACATCATCCCCCACTAGCCTCCCACGTCTCTCAAATAAAGGCGAGTGTCCACTCACCCCACCTGGAGGGGGCGGCGCCTCACCCGTTATTTCGTCTCTCCTGGCCCTCACCGCCTCCGGTGCGCCCTACTCTCAGCGTTCTGTCTGCTAGAACCTGCTGGGTGGGCGGCGGGAGAGCGGGAAGAAGCAAACCTCTACCCCCACCCCGCGGGGCAATTTGGAGGCGTAAAACAGGGTGTCTAAACCATCAGGGAGCAGGGGGAAGACCCTACAGGGCCCTGATCTTGTGCAATCCCTGCCCCCACCCCTAGACGTGGGAATGCCGAGCTGAGAAGTGGAGGAAGGCTGTGAAGACACCGGCCGGTCTCCTCCCCTCCAGCGCGCGCTCCCGAGGCCTCGTGCAGCTCGCTCCTGCAGGCGAGGCCAGACCACGTGTGCGCAACGTGGGGTCCGCGCGCCCGGCTGGGGGTGGGGGTGGGGTGGCGGGAACGCTCGCGGGTTGGCGGGTGCCCACGGACACCCCCACGCCCTTCTGGCTCACGGGGCCTCGGAACTCCCGCCCCGCCGGGTCAGGCCCCGAGCCTCACGGCCGGCCGGCGTGGAGCGGAGAGGATTCGCGCGCGCCACGCATCCCCGCCCCTCCTCCCTGCGACAGCGGCGGCGGCGGCGAAGGTTTATTGATCTGCAGCGGCGGAGAAGCGCGAGAGCCCCGCCGAAAGCGAGACGCACGGAAGCCGAGCGAGACGCCCACCACGGGGGGAGATGAACAGAGACTGGGTCCGCTGAGAAACCCGGGCACGGGAGTGCGGCACAGAGACAGAGGGGGCCTGAAACCGAGAAAGAGAAAGAGGGGAGCGTGAGAACCCAGAGGCTCGGAGAACGGAGCGACGCGGAGGCCGGGCCAGGGGGGCCCCCACACGGCAGAGACAGACTGGGACGCGAGGGAGGTTACCAGCGGCAAGGAGGGGGCGCGAGGCGCCCTCAGGGCCAGGGACAGGGAGGAAAGGAGAGCCCAACGTGGGTGCAGCAGAGCCTCAATAAACACTTGTTAATAAATGTACGGATGAAGGCCGATCAGAACCGAAACATGTCAGACAGAGGCGGGGAGGGAGACAGCGGAGAAGGATGTCCCCGGGCTTCTGGCGCAGGGCGGACACCGCACACCTGCTCGCATGTACAGATCGGGGCACAGGCCAGGGCGCAGACAGCCGGCTCTCGGTTCGCGCCCCCGCCCCCCGCCCATTCAATTCCAGGCTGGGGGCCCCTGAACCTCACACTCATCCTTCTCCCCGGTGCAGCCCCCCAGCCCCAGTTTCTGGTCTAGGCTGGGAACGGGTCTGACTCCTCCAGGGGACCCAGCGGACGGGCTGGGGGTGGTGTGGGGGGGCCGCCGGCGGGAGCTCGACCTCACCGAGGGCGCAGCCCCCAGGTCTGTCAAACCAGGCCCCACACGTGTCCCACCGGCACCCTCCCACGTGACCCCAGGAGGAGGGGTCGCCAGACCCCCTCCACGTGACCCCAGGGGGCAGAGACCCTCCGCCTGCGACGGGGTGGGAGCCGGCAGCCGCGCTCACGTGACCGGGGCAGGGGCGCGGGAGCCTGTGGCTCGGCCGGCCCCGCCCCCCGCTCCCCGGCCTCTCCGCTCCCGGCTCCGGAGCACGTCGCTCTCACGATTTATGGGGCCGCGGCTGCCGCAGTGAGGGAGCCGGGGAGCCCGGGCGCAGCGGCAACAAAGGCCGAGGATGTGAGGCGGGGGTGGCGGCGGCCTCCGGCCGGAGTGCACCCCTCCCACCGCTGCCGGCCCAGACCTGCGGGGAGCGGCAAAGGCAGAGAGGCGGCTGCCGAGCCCGGGTCCCGTCCCCTCCCGCGGCTTTCACCTGAGCCCAGGTGTATGCGGGGAGGGGAGCCCGATCAACACCACCCCCCGCCCGCACCCTCTCCCTCCCCCCGCCTTCCGCATCCCCCCGGCTCCGGCTTCCGCGGAGAAGCTGGGGATGCCGAGGCGGCGGGGAGCCCGGGCCCTCACCTGAAGCTCTCCACTCCCGGCCAGACTCCGGCCGGGCAGAGGGCGGACGTGTGGGTCTGGGGGAGGGGGACACGCTCATGGAACCGGGGAGTAGGCCCCCAGCACCCCCGGAGTTCTCCGAGTTCCACGCCGCGGGGGAGGGGCCGCACCCCCACCGGGAGGTTTCCATGGGAAGCAGGAGGGGGGCGCCGTGGGCTCGTCCCCACCCCCAGTCTGACACTCGGGCGCGAGGTGGGAGAGAGGGGGAGGCGCGGAGCCCCAAACAACAAAGAGCTGAGCGGCGAGCGGCAGCCCCTCCCCCGGGAGCCTGGGGTCGCAGCCGCCGGTCCTGCCGGCCTGCCGGCACCCGCCTCCGGGGTGGGAGCCAGAGGCAGTGCCGCCGCCTGGGCAGGTGTGACAGTGACCCCCGCGTCCCCAGGGATCCCCCCAACACACAGACACACTCGGGGTGATGCACACAGCGGCTCGGCGGGAGGAGAAGACAAGGGCAGCCAGGACTGAGCAGAGAGAACCTGGCCCCGCACCGGCACCGGCCGGCACCCCGCCGCCGCGCCACGCGCCCGGGAAACCACAGGGCCGCCCCGACACCCGCCCCGACCGCGGCGGCGCCGACAGCCCCCGAGCCCAGACGTGGCCGGCCACGCGGACGGCGACCGCAGCCCCCGCCTCGGCCGGCCGCCCGCTCCCACCCTCACCGAACGCCGACGCAGACACACAAATCACACACCCAGACAAACACGCACCCTGACAGCCGCGCACGCCCGCTCACACTCGGAGCCACACGCCATCCCGGCCCGGGTGTGTGCGCGCGCGCGCGTGTGACAAGCCATCCCCCCGCTGCCTTCCCTCTCACCGCGACCCCACGTCCCCATCCTCGCCAACCGGCGCCCCGGTGCCCCCCGACGCTGAGACCCAGCCCCAGCTCACCCGGCCGGGCTGAGCCACACCACCCGGCCGCCCCTCCGCCTTGGTTCCGGGGAGGTCTCAGCCGGACGCCCTGCCCCGGCTCCGGGCCCCACTTCTCAAAGCAGGAGTCCGAGACAGAACCCCTGGAAACGCGCACCGCTGAAAACAGGTCATCCCTGCCCCCCACCAAAAACGGACGGCCTACCCCCGGCACACGGGTGCTCCCCAACCCCAGCCCGGCGAAGGCAGTGACGCGGGGGGCACTGTGGGGTGGGGGGTGGAGAAAAGCCAAGGTGGGGTGGGGGTCCCCGAGCAGCCTCCTCTGGACGGCCGAGCCCTGCTCACTCAGACGCCCCCCGAGTTTCACAGGCGCCCACAGAGCGTGCCCCCCTCTCCGCCGCCTCCCAGCACCCAGCTGTGCTCCCGCAGGACTCCCACCTCGGCTCCCGCAGGACTCCCGCGCCCACCCGCTTCCCCTCCGCCGACGCGGGACGCACGAGCTCCCGGCCCCGGACTCACTGCTGGTTGGAGCTGTTCCAGTACACCGTGTGCCGGTTTCCCAGCGCCCCCCCGGGGCCCGGGGCCAGCAGCGGCAGCAGCGGCACCGGCACGAGCAGCAACAGCAGCAGCAGCAGCAGCGCAGCCGCCGCCATCCCCCGAGCCGCCGCCGCCGCCCCCCGACTGAGCCCCGCGCTCCGGGCTTCTGGCTTCCCAGCTCCCCGCTGCCGCGGCCGCCGGCCCAGGAGCCGTAGGCCACGCCCCCCGCCTTCCCTCCGCCCGGGCGCGCTCCCGAAGCCCCGCCCTGGGCGCGCTCCCGCCGGCCCCGCGCCGTGTGGGCCCGGAGTGCGCGGCGCGTGGGAGGTTGGAGCCGTGCAACCCGCGCGCTCCTCGCCTCTCCCTCCGCGGTTTAATTTGCTACCGCTGGTCCTAGGTTTTCTGCTCCCTAGTCTGCAGTTCCCAAGACAGGGATCGCCATCTGGATCAAGCACATTAATTTCTGGGATGGGGTAGAGACTTGAAAAGAAGGCGGGGATCCAGGACCTCTTCATCAGTAGCACTACACCCCCCCTCCTTTTTGAACGGTCTGGCCCCCTGTTCCTTCCATTGCCCCTCTTCCCCTGTGAATGGAGAGTCGCGGGCGGGGGGGGGGGGCGGGGGGGGGGACGGACAGTGATGGTGGTGGCCTAGAGGGTGTGGACAAGCCCTCAGCTGGCACCAACACCTGGTAGCTGCTGACCTGAAGCTCCCACCTGAGCAGGAGGCTTATTTTTCGTGGGGGTGGGGTAGAGGCGCTCAGCCCCCAACAATGTCAGTCCTGGGTGCTGGGAGGGAGGGCCCGGCATTCCAGGGCCAAGGTGGAGGAGGAGAGTCAGCTGGAGCAAACCAGGCTTTCCTGGGACGGACACGGACACACACACACACACACACACACACACACACATACACACACACATCCTCACATACTCTGGCAGGCCCCCTCCCAGTGCAGGGATGTCCTCAGGTATTCTCAGGCCTACTCTCATCAACACTGACAAGAGGGCAGAGCACCCTGGGTCCCAGCTCTCACCACAGTCATTGTCCTACAGGGACACCCAAGCACGACATTACACACACACACAGTCAGGAAAAAGCAGACACCCAGAAGCTGACACCAATTTATAGACACACACATGCCCCCTGCACGTGCGCGCGCACACACACAGGTAAAGGTAATTTCAGATAACTAGAGATCTGTAGAAACACAGACACTTAGATATACAGAGACAGGGGAGCATACATCAGACACATGCACACACGCACCTCATACACAGACCTACATGCACCCTCTACGCACACATAGCTCCACGCTTTCCTTTCTTTTCCAAGGACGGAGAAGTTGAGCGAAAGGGTCTAGAATCCTGTTCGCCTCCCATCTCTTCTCTTTTGGAGAGGTTCAGACTGAGTGACCAGGAGAACCAGGCCTCAGACCAGGTTCTCAGAACTCAAGCCAACCACCTGTGTGCAGGGGGACAGGCATAATGTTCCTTCCGTCTTTTCCGCAGGAGAAAGAACACACAGGCACCCTTCATCCACTTACCCTTGGAGGGCCAGAAGTCCTGACCACAAGCCCACCTTGGTGCTGGGCTTGGGGGAAGGGCAGTGTCATCCAGAACGGGTCCCATGTCTAGTGCTGCCCTGTGCTCCCTCAGCTCCTCTCCCTTCTCAGGAGCCAGAAAATAAATTGGGCCCCTTGGGCTGGAAAGGGAGACTGCAAACAGCTTTCCCGCCCCCGGGACTCCTGTCCCCGAGGAGATGTGTTTCACCTGAGTGATGCTAACTGCCTACTCCAGGTGCCACAGATCCCAGCCCCTTCCCTGCCTCCCACACTCCCTGCTCTGCAAAGGGAGGCTTCGCTCTGTGGGGCTCACAGTTGTCCATAATCACAGGGAGTCGGAGCTTGCTGGCTGAGGACCTTAGATTTGGTTTTAGAAGCTCTAGTTCCCTGTTGGTAGAGTCTGGATCCCACTTACAGCTGTGGGCCCTTTCTGTAGGGCCCAGATCCTCCTCTTTAGAAACTAGCACTCTCACATCCACCCTCCAAGAACCGAGCTCCTTTCTCTAGCATCTGGAGCTCTCCTGATAGGATTTAAGCCTCTGGATCCGGATACTCTCTGTAGGACCTAGGCCTGTGTCTATACAAGGCCCAGAAATCAGGATTTTAAAAAGATTCCCAGGTGATTCTAATGTGCAGCCAAGGTTGAGAACCACTGGTCTATAGGATCTGGTGTGTTGCCTGTTTGGGCCTCTATCCAAATCAGCTGATGGCTGACTTGACCTTTTGTGTGAATTAGAAACAGCACCCCTCTATGCATACCCAGTCCTTAGGGGGCATCTCTTGGCAAATGGTGTCTATGTGCAAAAACAAAGGTGCCACTTCCTTCAGCAGAAGGTGGCCCTATGTGTCTCCCTACCTTGGGCTCATGTCAGCCTGGACTCCCGCTGAGGTCGCTTCTTTGTGCCATGCACAAACCACACGACTGTATGTATCAGTTCTGACTACAGGGCATACACTTCCAGCTAAAATGCCTAGGCCTGTCTATAGGCCTCTACTCAAGGGTTCTGGATTCTCTAAGGATTGGTTCTCTGTATGTAAGATCTGGGCCACTGTCTATATGCCTGGGATCTGACCTGATCCAGGCCTCTTTCCATGGCATCTGGCTGCCATCAATGGGGTCTAGGTCTCTGTTTATAACTGTGCCTCAATTTTTCCTGATGGTGTATTTTGCCTTTGCAATATAGTAAACACAAACACACACATTCACATATAACTGGAACAGTAATTTTTATGAAACAACACTTACCTTTACTACAGAGGATACACTTTGATATTTTTCTTCTGTTCTATTCTTTAAAAATTTTTTCAAATATGGCCCTGGCTGGTGTGGCTCAGTTGGTTGAGCACCGTCCGATGCAGTAAGATGTCACTCCGGTCAGGGCACATGCCTGGGTTGCGGGCTGGATTCCCCGGTACGGGGTGTGCAGGAGATAGTCAATCGATGTTTCTCTCTCTCCCGCTCCCTCCTTCTCTCTCTAAAATCAATAATAATTAAAAAGCACATTAAAATGTTTTAAATAAAAAGCTGATTGAAATCCATAAAATTGATTTCTTGACTTTATCACCTCTAATGGGTTACAAGCTATAGTCTGAATGAAACACGGGTGCCCAAGGCCTGGGCCCAGATCAACACTTCTCTGTAGGGTGAGGGCCTCTGTGGAGACGGGCTTCTCTCCCAGGACTGGGCTTCTCTCTAGGGCCCAGGTCGGCAAACCGCGGCTCGCGAGCCACATGCGGCTCTTTGGCCCCTTGAGTGCGGCTCTTCCACAAAATACCACGTGCGGGCGCGCACGTACAGTGCGATTGAAACTTCGTGGCCCATGCGCAGAAGTTGGTATTTTGTGGAAGAGCCGCACTCAAGAGGCCAAAGAGCCGCATGTGGCTCGCGAGCCGCGGTTTGCCGAGCCGCAGTTTGCCTACCACTGCTCTAGGCCAGTGGTTCTTAACCTTGGCTGCACATTAGGATCACCTGGGAATCTTTTTAAAATTCTGATTTCTGGGCCTCATCCTCCGGAAATTCTGTTTCTTGTTACTAATGTTGTGGCCCCACCCCATAACAAAGAAACAGAATTTCCGGAGGATGAGGCCCAGAAATCAGGATTTTAAAAAGATTCCCAGGTGATTCTAATGTGCAGCCAAGGTTGAGAACCAGGGTCTCAGGCCTCTTTTTCCTCTCCTGCAGGCTTTGCCTTCATTTCCTTCTGACCCTCAGGCTTTCCAGTACATGGCTAGCTGCCCTGTTCTCTCCAGGAGGCAGGGAGCTCAGGCTCTTGGGAGCTCTCTGAGCATGGTACCTCACCCCTCTGCCCCTGAGGCCTAGGAAGCAGGGAGTTGAACAGGTCAGGGGCAGAGCAAGTACTCAGGCTGTGTGGCCCAAGATGGCTCCCAGGACATCGGGTGGTAATCAGGAAGCTCAGCTGAGCTGTGTTCAATAAATCATGGAAGCTAGGGCCTGAGGGAGAGGGAGGCCAGGAGGGAAGGGGGGGCCATGAATAAATAATTAATTTAAACAATGAACAAGGAGCCCTGGCTGGCACGGCTCAGTACAGTGCACCAAGGGGCTGCGGGTTTGATTTCCAGTCAAGGGCACATACCTGGGTTGCAGGTTCGATTCCCACCTGGGTCAGTGTGGCACATGTGGGAAATGACCAATCTCTCTCTCTCTCTCTCTCTCTCTCTCTCTCTCTCTCTCTCTCTCTCTCTCTCTCTCTCTTTCTCTCTCTCTCTCCCTCTCTCCCTCCCTTCCTCCATTCCAGTCTCTCCAAAAATCAATGGAAAAAATATCATCCAGGATTAACAAATCAATCAATCAATCAATAAAAATAAAAACAAAAAACAAGGAGCCTGTGAGAAGGGGGCTCGGACATGTGTGTGAGTGGGAGAAGCACCTGCCAGCCCCAGACATAAAATATTCACAGGTTTTCCACCTAGCACAGGGCCCATGTTATGTGCCCAGTGCTGGCAGGTGGTTTGTGCGGTTCTAACATGGGAACCTGGGTGCTAACAAGGAAAGCCATGCATGGGTCTTCTGACTTCCAAACGTATGTGTCCGAACGGTCCTCTAATGTCCATGAGTTGACATGGAACTACACACGTGACTGGCAGTAGGGAACACAGTGCTCTGCTGTGTGGTCCAGGACACAGGAAATGAGGATGCAGGGCAGGTAGGTGGGGCCGGGGTGTAACAATCTCTCATCCTAGTCATGCCCTGATCGCTCTAATGAGCCTGGCAAGCTGAGGAGCCTGAATCGGGAGGCGTCTCGGGCGTTAGACTGGAGGTGTGTGACTCCTCTGAGGGCTCTTAAAGCAAGCTGAAAGGGAGGCAGCCTGGCTTAGCAGTTACCAGGATGGACTTGGGGTCGAATTCCAGTCCTACCACTCATTGGCTGTGTTAGTCACTTCACTCGTCTGAGACGGTAAAGTGGGGCTAGTCACACTCCACCTGGAGGAGCTGGCTGTTGTGGGGATTAAGATTCATGCCTGGGAAGCCCTGAGCGCAGGGTTTAGGACCTACAGAGTCTGATTAATGGAGGCCTCCTTGTCATTATTATGACGAGCTTATCTCTGAGGTCCACCTACCTAGACCAGCCCCAGCCTCCTTTTCCATTTGTTCCTCCCCATCTCCAAGCTTCTCTAAT